AACTTTCAGAGGGAAAATTAACAGGAGATAACTGATAACTGACATCCATCAAACATGGCACGTGGAACTAGAACAGTCTACCCCAGTGAGCGAAATAAAGGGTTCAGTTCGAAATTCCAACCACCTGAAGAAGGCCGGAGCGTTCAACGGCCGAAACGTTGTGACAAATATGGCGACAAAAATGAGGACAATAGTCCGACTAATGTAAATACTATAGACAACTCACATTATATAAAATATCATTTCCCACAGGAGACCGTATTTTGAAGTACATCTGATACAGTTAATGTGCACACATTATATTAGTATTAAAGAATACAAATAAATAAATTAATGAAATTAATTTATTTAAAATAAAAAAGCAGCTGTCGATTACCGATGATTGCGTGATAAAACCGTTCGTTGCGCTCTGTCATTGTTCACCGGAGAAATTATTTAGAAAATTATGTATAGTAGTAGATGATACGAAGAATACATACATTGGGCATACATGCACCACACTTTCTCGTAGATTTACTTGTCACCTGTCGAACCTCAGTGCAATCCATGCACACATCGACCAGCACATCATGGACGACCAAAGTACAACTATCAACATAAGATAGATATTAGTTGACAACACCCAATGCAAGGAAAGAGTCAAAACTCTAGTACCTATATATATATATATATATATATATATATATATATATAATCAGCCCCCATCATATAAAATATTCTTTACCACAAGAGAAGGTATTCTGAAGTGCATATGATATAATTAATTATTATAATAAATAAATCGCATTTTTTTTGTGCGGACTCGTTTCCAATCGCCGTTACACGTCACTCTAGACCATTTCAAATGTCCAGCTTCGCAAAGAAAACCAGGATGCAGACAAAGGAATTCTAACGACCACACAGGCACCACATCGGTTCATGATAATAACTGCGAAAGTCAAAGTACTCGAACAAAAATAACAAAATATGAACTTTGGACAGTTTCTCCGGAACTTCGAGCACAAGACTCAACACGTCATCCTAAAATTGTAAAAATACAATAAAAATTAAACAAAGAGTTCTTTTTTAATCAAACGTGTTTGGATGAATACTTGCTGCCTATATATATATATATATATATATATATATATATATATATATATATATATATATATATATATATATTTTACGTCAATAAATTTAATGTCTGTGAATTAGAAATGGAAATCACATTACGTGACAGATTCATATGACAATCAAACAACTGTTGACTGTTTTGTACTAAAGAGACAGCCCTAGTCGTTCTTTTTAATCTAGTATGTTTGAACACACACACACACATATATATATATATATATATATATATATATATATAATATTTATTCGAAAATTATAACATAAAATGGTATAAAATTACTACAAAAATAGCCATTTTGTTTCAACACTTCTGGTTGAACACCATCACTTGAGAAGACGCCAGAAGTGTTGAAACAAAATGGCTATTTTATAACATTTTTATGTTATAATTTTTGAATAAATAATTATATTTGCTCTACTCTGTATTGAGCACTCTTTTAAGAATAGTGTTTATTGGCTATTGCAATTTATTCCGTATACACCAATACTATACGTGGGTATATATATATATATATATTTGGTTGGATTGATGTGAGTTTGTGACACTTTTCACACACACACACACACACACACACACACACACACACACACACATATATATATATATATATATATATATATATATATATATATATATATTCAAACATATGTAGATTAAAGAACGGCCTGGAGAATCTGATACTCACAGGGGCGGATAGAAGGAAAGAGAGACAGGAAAGCAAGGCATGGCATATACCCAGCGAGCTTAAGCAAGTGGATTACAGACCATGGTCTGGGGGGGTGGCAGAGGACAGAAACTTGAGAGAGCTACAAGGGATGGGAGGAAGTGGAGGGCCATGAATGTCTACGTCCTGAAAAGGACACGACACATAAAAAGAAAGAATGAACGCTATATATATATATATATATATATATATATATATATGGCGCCTGTATTCAACCTGTGAGTATCAGATTCTCCAGGCCCTCCTTTCTCATCAAATTTCAGCTGCCTCTTCCTGATGTTAAGTATAAGCCTCCTCCTTGTGTGCATCCTTTCAAAAAATCATCGTTGCTCACACGCTCGGTCCATGATATCCTTAGCATCCTTCTGTAGAACCACATCTCCGTCGCCTCGAGTCTCTTCTTCATCTTTAAGTAGACCTCCCAAAATTCACTGCCGGAAAGGAGGACAGATATCACGTAGCAGTTCAGTATTCTTTTCTTTGTTACCAAAGATATCCTCCTGTTTCGGAATACTCTGCCCAGGTTTTGGAAAATAAAGCGTTGGGAAGTCAGTTGATAACAATCCCCTCAGGATACCGTAAGGTTGAAACTAAGGTAGCGTATTCAACTGATCTCCTAATTTTTAAAGTATACACACACAAACATATATATATATATAATAAAAAGGCTTAAACACTAATATTCCATGGTCATAATTTATTCCATTGGAATCGTATCCAATTCATCAGACCTATCGTATTTACGATTCCAATTTAATAAATTATAACCATGGAATATTAGTGTTTAAGCCTTTTTATTATATCTTTACTCTGTTCTGGACATTGAGTTCTACCTGGATTCTAGCCTCTTGGAATTTTTTTTATTCAAAAAATATATATGTATGTGTATGAATGTATGTATATATATTTATATATTTTGCATATGTATGTGTATATTTACCACTAATATTATCTATCTATCTATCTATCTATCTATCTATCTATCTATATGTCATTTACAGACAGTGCTGGTAGGACTCGTCGTTTCATGCACAACGAAATCTTCAGGTGCTGAGTATAGACTGACCGTTATGTAATTTAAATTTTAAGAAAATATCCGGTTATCGTAATGTTGCCGCTATATATTTGTTGAAACTTTACTAATGCATGGAATAATAATGCAACAGAAAATGTACTTAGAACAAAATGTATTGAAACAAGAAAGTGTACACAATATTTACATATAGTCTTTTGTATATTCCTGGTAAGACCGTTCCTGGAGAATGTGTTGACTGAGTCGCAGTCGGGCAGAGTCTCTGGTTGAATCTCTTGATTCCTTCCTCTCTTCCCGGTACCAACCATATTTATATGGTCGGTACTCCACTATGCAAATTAGGTGGATCCTACCACAACAATATTATACTGTGATTACAGATTTTAAAAAATATATTTGTCATTTAAAATTAACGCGATTATATACAGGTATATCGTCTCAAGTTTTTGATTTTATAAGGAAAAAAACACATGCCTGATGATGGATGAAAGACTGTCCGTAAGTACTAGCATTTTAACATCAAATAAACTGAAAAACTACAGACAACAAGTTTTTCTTCAAGGATCAAAACTCGCACTATGGATGAACAGGATTTTAATGCATATATTATGTTTTCTAGCGATGGATGTCGCCAATAATCGCATTGATACTTCTGATTAATTCTATGTGTGATTATTCTTTGTATGTAAATATATAAATAGGTTGATGTATGTGATACTGGGTTTCACGCCCTTTGCTAGAGTTTATCTGACGAGCGCAAAAGGAGTGAAACCTATGGTAACAAACTCACATCAAAGCAACTAAATATGTTAGCTCAATCGCTGATATTGAGCGCTTTCCAATACATATATATATATATGCAATTTATATATATATATATATATATATATATATATATATATATATATATATATATGCAATTTATATATATATTTATATATATATATATACATAAATTGCATATATGTATATATATTTATATGCAGAACACATTATATATATATATATATATATATATATATATATATATATATATAAAAAAAAACGTAAATCCGAAAAATATAAATACGTCAACGTTTCGATAACCAAATAAATTTTTATTCAAATTTGATTTTTTTTTTATATTGGTTTTGTCGACAATTATTTTCCTGGATTTTGAAAATGGATAGGAAATACGGCCTCTTCTTTGATGAATCTCATCTTTACATTAATAAATTCATTAGAGAACTAGAAATAATTCTTCTTATATAAATAGACATAATATCTTTATGTTATTCAATGAAAGATGTTTGAATGAAGATATCCTGCATATATATATATATATATATATATATATATATATATATATATATATATGTTAATAAATATACATATTATCCCACTACTCGGAGTTTCATGCACAATGCAATCTTCAGGTGCTGAGTATAGACTGACCGTTACGTAATTTAAATTTTAACAAAATATCCGGTTATCACAATGTTTCCGCTATTATATATTATACTGGCATTACAGATTTTAAAAAATATATTTAGCATTTAAAATAAACGGGATTTGTAAATATATATACATATATATATATGTGTGTAAAAATATATTTTAGAATTGTCAATATTAATTTTTTTATTATATTAAGCATAACGGTAGATTACTTGTTCTTTAAAAAAAAAAAACTATAATTATATTAACAATTAATCAGGATGAAATAAGCAGATATTTATTTTTATGCCTACGTGTAACCATGAATTTACTTCTTTTGTTTAATAAGCTAGGGTTATTTAAAGAACCAGCAATCTAAACACACACACACGCGCGCGCACACACACATACAGAAACACACACGAAGGTTATTCAAAACGTAATGCAGTTTGTTTTAATATACAAGCATTAAAGAACACACGCAAACCTATCGTAAATTGGATCTCAGCTCTCCGATTAACAAATAAGCTATAATCCAGTCCTTCACCAGCGCATCCAAGCTTACAACACTTCGTATTCAAAAGTGGTCACCCATCTAGTTACCGACCAGTTTCGATGTTGCTTAACTTCGTAGATCGTAAGGGTAACCGGAGGTTGAAATTCACAAATATTAATGTTCATTCATATTAGCGGCCGATGAATAACACGACTGTCAAAGTAAACAATGTCAAATATGTCAAAATAAAAATAAAATAAGCAAAATTATAAATTAATAAAAAACATCTTGGCTTAAAACCTTTTTTTTTTCATCGACTTCTTCATTTTTTTTTGTTTCTGTGTAAAAAAAATTATTCGCGTTATTTTCAGTTCCTACTTTCACTCTCATCAGGGTCAGATGGAATCGACATCAACTGTTTTGCGTTGTCATATTTTTTGTGTTTTTTTTGTTGCTCTTCTGGCCTTCCGTATTTATTGAATTCGCCATCACTGGAGATCATCTTGTTTCATTTTTACGGCCGCTTTTAACGCCTTACCGTTTTCATCGTGTCTTTCCGTTTAGAATTTTGTTGAAATTTGTTAACTTATTCTTTTTTTTTCTTCACATTTGTCATCTTTGCTTCATTTAATATTTCTTCATTTTTATTCATTCAATAAGATTCATTTGACTTTTTTCTTACATTATTTTTTATCTGGTTTTATTTATATTTGCTTGTTAGAGATGCTATTTTTTTGTTTCTTTTTCTTTTTTTCTTCGTTACTTTTTTATTTCTTTCTTTCGGTATTTCTTTTTTTTTCTTTTTGTTATGGTGATTAATTTTTGGTAATTTCCAATTTCCATGTTTCGCATTTTGGTAACTTTGTTCTGATTTCTTTCAATTCTTTTGCTCTTTCTTTCTCTCAGTTTTTTTTCTTTTTCTTAACGTTTGGATCCTTTCGTTCGTTCTTTCTTTCTTTCTTTCACTGTTTCTTTTTTTTTTTCTTTCTCGGCGTTTTATTATTTGCTAAATTTTGGTAACGAAATTTTTGTTTCGTTTTTTGCTTTGCTGATAACTTTATTTAAATTTTCATTTTTCCCTAACTTTTGTTTTCTTTCTTTTTACTTTCATTCTCAGTGTTTCTTTTTTTGTTTCTTTTGGTTTCGTTATTTTTGTTTCTTTCTTTCTTCCTCAATGTTTCTTTTTTGGTAACTCTCTCTTGTTCTCTTTCTTGCTTATCTTTCTTTTCATCAATGTTTCTTTTTTTTTTAATAACTTTTGGTTTCTTTCTTTTTGCTTTCCATATTCTTTCGTTTTGTCCTTTGTTTCCTTCTCCATGTTTCTGGTTTTAGTAACTTTCTCTTGCTTTCATCATTCATTCATTCTTCCTCTCTTTTTTTTTTCTTTCTTGCGAGCAAATTGGCTGTCAGATTTTTGTTCTTTTTTTTTTTTCAAGAGTCAAGGTCATAGGGACGAGGCATGCGGTAGGGTCGCAAAGGTCAACGCGCAAGTCATAATTCTTCTTTGTCGCCGGGGCACAAGCAAGTGACTGATGATATTATTTTGAAGTTTTTTGAAAAGTCTTCATCTAACGCTAGACCTCTTCAAGAAAATCGACCAAACTTTTCAATTCTAAAATCGAGAAAGAAAGAAACGAAGTAGAAAAAAAAACCCTGACAAATGACCAATCAAATACTCAAGCTAAAATAAAAAAAAAACACAAGAAAACAAAACAACACAAACAAAATATCCAAATGAGATTATTGTGTGCGCATGCGTGTTGTTCTGATGCGTGTCTATTATAAAATAACATGGACGCGAGATGTCTTAATGGAGATAACACAAGAAACATGATTATATACCATAAAACTACAGTTATCAGTCATAAATTCATATTATTTCACCAATGGAAGCCACAAACACATTTTCAATAGTCCCTTTATCGGTCGTTCTGACCTTGATCACATGCTAAGTTGTTAGAAATAAAATAAACTACAAATTATATTCTTTCATTTGATTATCGCTTCTCTTATTTCCCCCCTGTCTTTTCTACAAAAGACAGAGGGAAAAAATAAACAAGTATTTTTACGGCAACTGTTCCGACGAGCTACTTTCGCTGTTTCTCGAAACTGCATGAATTTAAACGTGCTACTTGGTTGGCATCTCGGTCCCACTCTTTCAGTGTCGAAACGGTTAAATGTAACCGTCTCTTCTACTCCAACTGCTTCTTCTCTCGCACTTCCCGTCTGTGAAACTCCCTTCCTCTTACTTCCTTATAATCTTCAAATATTCAAATGTAATGTCAATCAACATCTTCTGGTGCCTTGATCCTGATCCCCGTCCTTCTCTATATCCTTTTCCGCAAACACCCCCTCTTTACTCTTGTTCTCAATCCTCTGTAACCCCTTGCGTGGTAGGGACACTCCCGCCTTGTTTGGGGTGAAAAGCTTAAAAAAAGATAGAAAAATTCTAATATATAGATTGGATTGCTTGTGGGGAAAATGCATGTTCTTGAATGCACAGGCCGACAGACGTAATGCACACTGTTTAATAAATAAAAATGGGGCGTCTATTTCGAATACGAAGTACAGATTATAATAACGTTTGAAGTAATAAAAAAAATGTCGATTTAAAAATAAATCCAGTAATTCTTTAAAAATTGCTTTGTCTACGTTTCGGATGAGAAAATAATCTGGTGAAAATAGATGTGCTTTTCTTAAAAAGGGAAAATAGAACTTAGATCTGCTGTATCGTTCTTCGTGCCTGAGCGGTAAAGCACACCGGATGAACGCTTGTTTCCCCTCTAAAGGGGTCTCATAGGTAATAGAGCAACAAATATAAGTAGAAGCTTATGAGGCTTTATTTGACTAATTCATCTTTAGTGATGAAAACATTTATTTTATTACTAATGTAACCGTGCCGTCAAAATTGAAGGAATGTATTATAAGTAATATGTATTATATATATATAGCACGGTGGAGTAATGGATAGCGGCTCGGATTGAGGAATCGGACAGCCGAGTTCGAATTCCAGTCAAATCCGTTACATTCGTTTACGTGCTAATACCCTTGGGAAAGGTATGAATCCTCTTCTTCTCCCTCCAGCTATGGGTAAATAGCAGCACAGACTGGGCTCTATAGCCTTGGATGGCATCTGGGAAAGAAATGGCTACCTACTGCGAGAAAAAATCTGCCTCGTCAGTCATGTATCAAAAGATATATGATCGCCTAAGCGTTTATCACACATGGCACATAACTGACACTGTATTATAAGTAATTATCGTTTTAATCCAAGCACATTTTTTTTTATCTGTGTAACAATTGAAGAGAAGTGTGCAAAATAATGACGAGCCGCCCTCCCATCTATCTATCTATCTATCTATCTATCCCAAATTCAAGTTATATTTGTTTTTGGAAAGAAAAAAAGAACATTAGTTAAATAAAAATTATGAGAGACAGACATGAGTTACGACCAACATTAGTCAGGTTGAATATTTGTTTTCCGAATTTAACTATTTTATTTCCTTTTTAGGGCCAATTCGGAAGAAATAAATATAATTTATGCACGTATTTGAGAAACAGAGAAACGTTGTTATATATTTCTTTTCTTTTCAAAAACAAATATACCTTGAATTTGGGCGGGTGGGTCATCATCTGTGCGAAAGAGTCGCATATCACATTATATCACATGTATGATGCGACCCTCTTAAAATTAGCTTCAAAATTCAGTCTTCAAAGGTCGCATGATACACAAATATATACGTTATCTATGTATTACAGTCTGTCCATTATCTATCTATCTATCTATCTATCTATCTATCTATCTATCTATCTATCTATCTATCTATCTATCTATTGCAGTCTGTTCATTATCTATCTATCTATCTATCTATCTATCTATCTATCTATCTATCTATCTATCTATTGCAGTCTGTTCATTATCTATCTATCTATCTATCTATCTATCTATCTATCTATCTATCTATCTATCTATCGCAGTCTGTTCATTATCTATTTATCTACCGTATATACCCGCGTATCATGCGACTTTTGAAGAGATCATTTTGAAGCTAATTTGACTACAGTAAATGGATATATAATTTGGTCAAAGGCATAGCCAAGGCCAACAGTACATATGCTAATTTTATATCACGAAACGTTGTTAATATGGCAATGAAGATGAGGATAACAGTCTGAATAATGTTAATAATGTAGAAGAGAAGTGATTATGTCTAGGCTCCATATTGGGTCTACTACCATAGCCTATTCGTATATGTTAAAAAAGTAAGATCATCCGTATTTATTTCGTATCTATGGTTATTTTTAAACTTTTAATATCTGTTAGCATCCCATAGAAAAGACTTGATATAAAAGGAATAATCTCACATGATGCAATATTTGAAATAAGCTCTTTTGTTAGAAATAAAAGATTATCAAAAACAAGGACTGTCGCGAAGGACGTTATGTTTTTTGATGAAAATGATGAAAAAGATTTTGAATTAAACTTAAGAACTACACAATAATTCTTACGAAAATTCGGATACAAAAGCGATTCTGACTCTTCTGATTTTATTGATTAATAAATTTAAAATTGCACATTAATTACTATTTTTTTTATTCAAGAAATATATCTGCTCAGTTGTTGACATTAATGGCTATTTGCTGATGTGTTCAAATTTTGGAATAATGCAACAATAAAATTTTAATCTCATCTCTCTGATAGATATCGTCCCATAAATTTAACTTATAAAAAGAAGATGAAAGCAAGTCTTCAGTAGCACTCGAATATGACAGACAGCTGTAGCAGCACTAATGAGCAGGCAGGGTAGGTTTAAGACTCCAAGTTCACTACGGAGAATTGTTCTACGGGACAATGGCCTATTGAATTAAAGCGTGAATTTGGTAACATATTAATTGTGAGTTCGATCCCTGGCGCAATAGCTGAGCATTGAAAATAAGAACAAGACGAAGCATCCGTGAACAGTGAGAGAATTTTATGTCATCCGAACTATTGTCATCATATTGTTCTATGAGGTCTATTGAGTTTGAACCTCACCGATTGCCCAATACTTTCGGCCTTGTGCCACATCTAAGCTACACGTAGAAAATCATTTAGGGCATTTCGGTATGGTGGTATGGTTTGCAAGCTTGTCTTGCTAGACTGACTACGACTTAATAGAGACTTCGATCCACACCGGGTGCCCCATATTTTCGGCCCTGTGTCACCATAGAAATAAATACAAAATTAGAGTTATTAGTAAAGAAAGACAGATAAATGACAGCAAACATGATAGGCAGCAGCAGTAGCAGGACTGATCAGCAGCAGGTTAGATTTAATTTGGCCTTGTGGTTTGGTCCGAAGATTTGGTGAGATAATCCCGCGTATCAGTTACTGGTTATCGATTAATTGGTAATGCTAAAAAGAGTGAATTGTGTATGTTCATTGCGCAAGTACTTTTTTTGTGGTCTGACATGAGTAAAACATATGGCGTTTAAAAAATGTTGTCCACCCCGGCTTCTTGCAAATTTATAGGAAGTAAATTTATGGATTGACTTAACAGAAAGACTACATTTTCAAAACAGGTTGACTTCATTCGCTTCCCAAACTTTGGCCGTCTTTTTTATTTTCGGAGCATTCTTTAATCATCTGACCGCTCCACCCCTAAAGCAATAATGTCGCTAAGACTCGAGGAGGTTACTGGGAGTTATAAAAAATGAGAAAAGGTTAGTGAACAGAAAGGACAATAAAAGAACAAGTTTCAGGAGGACAGAGACGGCGATTGACATCGCATTTAAATATTTGAAGGTTGTAGTTGACAGGGAAGCAAGAAATAAGAAGGCAGATCAGAAGGTGAAAAATGCAGGAAAAGAAACTCTTAAAATAGAACTTGTGGTTACGTCTAGCTATTTCAAGACTAAAGCTGTAGAGTAATTGGCTATGACAGGGCAAAAATAATACAAAGAAAACAATAGATGCAAGACAGAAGTGGGTAAAGCAAAATTAAATGGGAGAAAAAAAATTCACAAACTAAAAACGGCGTTAACACATAATAGAGATTCATATTATCTGGTTTCTGTGGTCGTGTACAGTTCCAGTCCTCGCCAGGATCGATAAGCTTCATTCCCTGGAAGCCATTTTCACCCTTCGATCAGAGAAAGGATTTGTATACAACTGACAGTTTAGATATTTCTAAATGCGTTTCTCGATGCATGGCATCCATATGAAAGTTTCGATATGGCGAGGCCACTTAAGAACACTCGAGATTCAGCTTAGAATTACCATCTTTTATAAATTCGTGTAAGGCTAAGTTTTGTCCAGTTGCGAACGATCGTAACGATATCAACCTCCATGGTGCCAGAAATTTAGAAACGATATGCTGTCCTCCTCGGCATTCGTGCAGAACGCTCCAATACGAATATTTCAGAGTGTTTGGTGTCAAATGCAGAGGATTCGGAAAGAGTTGGATGAGTCTAATGGTGATTACGAAGGTACTGCAGGTCGGAAAACTCACTTTGATCGTTCTAAGAAGAAAAGATCTCCCGAATTTGTTGGTGAGGGCCTCAAGTTTAAAACGGTGGCCTATAAGTGTTTTGAGGGGGTATTGCTACCCTGAGTCAAGGGGATTTTTGTTGGAAGATTCTATGTCTGACAACAGGACTCTGCACTATGCCACACAAGCAGGGGAACCTGGTTATGGCTATCAGATAATTTATGCGGCTACATCTCCCTTTACATCTGGCCACCTAACTCCCCAGACTGCAACCCTCTTGATTATTATGTGTGGGGTGCAGTTGAGCAAGAGACCAACAACACTCCTTGTGACACCAAAGATGAACTGAAGGCAAAGATTATGGCAGTGTTCCCCAACTTAAACATGGAGACCGTCCAGAAGAGATTCAGAGGATTTCGAAGTCATCTGGAGGCTCTTTAGTATTTCAAGTTATACAGATAGTCAAGATAGTTAAGTCATTTTGACTGGCTCACGAGTTATAACATATACACAAAAAACTGTAACAGATCACAGCTTTCTGGCATCCCGATAAAAAAGAACATAAATATGGCGGATGAGACCGATAAATGATGAGATCTGATTGGCTAGGAAGAAATCAAGAGAAAAACCGCCCTTTTGACACTACGTCTTATTGCGGACGGTTTTCCCTTGACACCGCTATTATTTTAACTACCTTCACTCTTCAGCGATGTTTATTGCTTTAAAAAACGATGATAAGAAATGGAATAAAACTTAAACATGATGAAAGTGAATTTATAGATTTTCTTTTTTTTTTTTGAGAATTGACAATGTTGTAGATTCCGGGATGAAATCCGGTACCAATAAATAACAAACGCCAAGAATGAATATAGGAAAATAATGTATTAACGTAATAATACAAACTAGTAATGCAGGTTAGTAGTTCCAGGAATACGGGTTAGTAGCAAAATATCTATACAGTCTTTGGTGTTGAAGTATCGCTGTATGACTTCTTACTGAGTCTACGTGCTCGCTCACTTTGACTCTTGCTTCGCCACGTTCGTTCTGTCTGTCTGTCCCCTTACTCTCACTCTTCCGGTTAGATACAACCTTTCACTCCCCTCTCCTGCTCTTGTTCTGTTTGGTCTTCACGTAGCAGTAGTATATGTATATACTGGGTGAGTTCATTTGTGTAAAAAGGGGAGGACCCCTGAACAGACAACAAAAATAAAAGCACTCGGTCGTCTTGTATAAAGGAGGGAAAACTCGAGAAAAATCGTCGAAGATTGCGTGTTCATAAACAGTAATTTGGACTTTGCTAACCAGACGCTTCTCTGTAGCTAAATGGTACAGCACGTCAGATCAAATGATTTCCCTATAAGAATACAGCTACGATTCCTGTCGGACAACGCATATTTTCTACGAAATTGCTCGAACATTGAGGTTGGTAAATGTAATTAATACTGTTTAATTTAAAACAGAACATTTGCTTAATTAAAATTTATATATATATATATATATATATATATATATATATATATATATAAATTAACGTATAAACAAAAAATATATTAAATTGTCGGAATTAATCCAGTTCATTATATGTTGTCATTGTCTACGTTAAAATACATTTCGTGAGCAGATATGATCGACTGAGAAAAATCGTCGAAGATTGTGTGTTTGAATACTGTAATTCAGACTTTGCTAAACAGACGCTTCTCTGTAACTAAATGGTATAGCACGTCAGGCCAAATGATGGTTTCCGTATAGGAATACAGATTCGATTCCTGTTGGAGAACGTATATTTCTGCGAAATTTCTTGGACATTCAGGTCGGTAAATGTAATTAATACTGTTTAATTAAAAACAGTGCAATTATTTAAATAAAATGTATCTATAAAAATAACGTATAAACAGAATATATATATATATATATATATATATATATATATATATATATATATATATATAATGCATTATGTTACTTACAAACCAGTCTCATTCCGTCCGTGTTCCATCGGCGAGAAGTAGGTTACACTCAAACAGCTTCTTCCCACGAACCACTGCCCTATAAGTATATGTATTAAAGAACAAAATTTACAATGGACATAAACATTAACATTTGTGTTTGTGTGAACGTAAAGAGTTTATGTTTTGGTGAATGTTCGTACGTACGTGGATGTGTGTTTCATGGCGTTTTTCCACAAGTGGGTAAAGCGCAGATCTCTGCGAGAGGTCACATTTTGTAAATGTGTCCACTGAAATACAAAGTAAAAAAAGAACGAGGCAAGAAATCGCCCGGTATTTATGGTGTACAGAGAGCGACCCCTAGTGAACAATTTGGACAATTAAGGAGGAGTTAACTCCGACGCTGTATAGATTGAATTAGTCCGGTGAGAAGACCCATCCTTGTCTCACATCTCTTTTTTCTGAGCATAAATATCGCGTACCTTGTTCCAGTACCTTTAAATGTTTTGTTAACGATTATTTTATCACTACTTAATGATAAGCGCAACATAACTTTTGTTTAGAACAAAAACTAAAAAACAAAAAAAGCCAAAAAAAAAAAGCAACCCCCCCCCCAAAAAAACTACTTAACCGTGGGTCTCCCAGTGAGAATCGAACTCTCTATTTTATCACTGAATTGTGTGTCGGACTTGATCACTGGCGTTTCTATATGATTATATATTTTTTCTTCTTGTGCGTGTGTGTGTGTGTGCGTGCGTGCGTGTGTGTGTGTGTGTGTGTTTGTACATCCGGGCAATTGCAGATTTGTAACGTTTCGGAGGTAATCTGCCTGCATTTGTCAACCTTGTTTCTGTTTGTTTTTGAATGACACGACCCCTGACCTCTTCCTGCTTAATTTTGCTCTCCTTTCTTCCACCCCCGGGGCACCTACGCCCTTACCCTCCTGTCGTCGCCTCCGCTACCTTGTTTTGGTTTTCGATTATTTTATAAGTTACCCAACCAACCAACCAACCAGCCAGCCATCTTTTCAGCCAGTCAACAGAGCCAGCCTGACTCGTTCCATTTTGCGGAAAATTGCCTCGTTTTTCACCCAAAATACTTCTTTCTTTTCTTTTTCTTTTTTACATTGACACTGCATTATTCTTTTCTTTCATTCATTTAATTTTTCCTCTTTTTGTTTCACATTGAATTCTTTTCTTTCATTCACTCTAGATTCTTAATTTCTTTCTTTCATTCTAAATTCTTCTTTTCTTTTATTCTTTCCAAATTCTTTTCTTTCATTCATTCATAATCCTTCTTTGCCTTGCTGACTCCTTTCTTCTATTTCGTTCTTCGATTTTTTCTTTTATTTATTCTTTTATTTCTTCCTTAATTTCTATCATTTCTTTTTGCACTTATATTTTTCTTTCTTTTGTCCTGTTATTTTCTTTGCCTTTTCGAATTTTTTTGCTTTTTTTTTCCTTCATTTTTCCTTCTTGTGTCCGACTTCATTCTTTTTATCCTTAACAGTACGCCTTTCTTTTTTTATCCTATTTATTCCACCTACGTCGTAGCTTCTTCTTCTTCTTCTTCTTCTTCTTCTTCTTCTTCTTCTTCTTCTTCTTTTCTTCTTCTTCTTCTTCTTCTTTTTGTTCTTGTCCTTCTACATCTTCCTCTTCTTCTTCTTGTTTTTGTTCTTGTCCTTCTACATCTTCCTCTTCTTGTCTCTCTGTCGTCTTTTCTCTTGTCTTTTCAATTTGTCTTCCTACTTGGTATTCTTCTCCCTTTTCATATTCCCTCTTTGTCTTCTTCTTTTCTCTTTCACTTCTTATCTCTTTGCCTTCTTCTTCTTCGTTTTTCTCATCTTCACTCTTTGCCTTCTTCTTCTTTGTCTTTTTCTTCTTCTTTCTTTCTCTTCTTCTTCTTCTTCTTAGAGTTGAAGTAGACTTTAGAAGGAACTGGAAACCAAATCCTAAACAGGAAACAAGGGATAAACCTCTACTCCTATTAAAAAACCTATCTACTCCTACTGAAGGAAGAAAATAAATAAATAACATTTCAGAGTTTAGTGAGAGACGTTAGGAGTATAGAGTTGAAGTAGACTTTAGAAGGAACCGGAAACCCAATCCTAAAGAGGAAACAACGTTTAAATTTCCTCTCTTTTTTACAAGAGCGGGGAGGAGTTTGAACCGGATGACAGGTGAACCTATCTACTGTTATAGCTCATAAAAAAGAAAAACAATCGAGGTATTTTATCAGGTTCAGTCATGTCGTTAATACGCGTGCGCAATCCAGGCTATGAGAAATTAGGCTAAATTGAAAATAAGGCTTCAAAGATTACTTTGAACCTGACACGAAATATTAAAACAATAGAATATTTGATAAGCAATTATTTTCTTGAATTCTGTTGCATTTAAAGACTCTCACCAGTAATTCCGTAGTTTCATGATAATAAAAATAACGTTTATCTCAAGAAAATTAGGTGAAGTTATAAATAAACGGAACACATTAGACAGCACTTCCTCCGATTAGCCTCGTTACTTAGAATGATTACATCGTTACTTATGTAAATGCGTATAAAATAAGGTACAGAGTCCCGACAAAGGTTGAAGAATATGACAAATGCAAAACCGTTCCATTGAAACTTAAAACGATTACCTGGGTACTTATTTTAGTGCATCATTTTACTTACAATTATTGCCATGTGTCGCAAACAATAGTGCGATATTTAAACAAATTAGGCGTAAATAGTCAACAGTGCATCTTTATAGCCATCTTTATATTCATCTGGCACGTTAGAACTATATTTTAGAAGGAACCGGAAACACAATCCTAAACAGGAAACAAGGTTTAGGCGGAAGAAAATAAATAAATAACATAGAGAGTTTAGGCGGAGACTTTAGAAGAGAGTTGAAGAACCGGAACCGAAACCCAATCCTAAACAGGAAACAAGGGATAAACCTCTACTCCTATTCAAAAAACCTATCTACTCCTACTGAAGGAAGAAAATTTCAAATAAATAACAATTCAGGAAACAAGGGATAAACCCCTACTCCTATTAAAAAACTGAAGGAAGAAAATAAATAAATAACATTTCAGTTTAGGCGGAGACGTTATAGAGTTGAAGTAGACTTTAGAAGGAACCGAAACCCAATCTAAACAGGAAACAAGGGATAAACCTCTACTCCTATTCAAAAAACCTATCTACTCCTACTGAAGGAAAGAAAATAAATAAATAACATTTCAGAGTTTAGGCGGAGACGTTAGAAGTATAGAGTTGAAGTAGACTTTAGAAGGAACCGAAACCCAATCTAAACAGGAAACAAGGGATAAACCTCTACTCCTATTCAAAAAACCTATCTACTCCTACTGAAGGAAGAAAATAAATAAATAACATTTCAGAGTTTAGGTGGAGACGTTAGAAGTATAGAGTTGAAGTAGATTTTAGAAGGAACCGGAAACCCAATCCTAAACAGGAAACAAGGCATAAACCTCTACTCCTATTCAAAAAACCTATCTCCTAGGAAGGAAGAAAAAAATTAACATTTCATTTTCCTGGAGACGTTAGAAGTATAGAGTTGAAGTAGATTTAATTCTGCTTCAAACTTTAAACCTCTACTTATTCAAAAACCTTTCCTCCTGGCATCCCTAAATAACATTTCTTTTTTCATTATTTGATTATTTTTAGTTTCATCCTCTTTCCTTTCCGAACATCTTCTCCTTCGTCTTTGTTTTTCTGCTTAATCTTCATTTTCGCTTTCTTCTTTGCCATATCCTGGACATTTTCTCTTCAATTTCCTCTTCACTTTCCTCTTCCTCTTCGCTTACACCTTCCTCTGCATCTCCCGTTTAATTTTCTTCTTTGCTTACATCTTCATTTTCTTCTTCAGTTTCTTTGTCTTTTGTAATTTTCTTCTTCATCTGTCTCTTTGTCGTATACTCCGTCATTCTCTTCGTCTTCTTCATCACTTTCTTCTTCGTTTACTTCTTTTTTTCAATTTCTTCTACGTTTGCCTCTTTATTTTTATCTTCAGTTTTTTGTCTTTTGTAATTTCCTTCTTCATCTTTCTTCTTTGTCTTCTCCGTCATTTTTTCGTCGTTTCACCTCTTCATTTTCCTTTCTTCATTTTGCTTCTTCACCTTCCTCTTTTCTTCAATTTCCTTTCTCTCTTCGTCTTCTTCTTCTCGCGATCCTCTTCATTTTCCTCTTCATTTTCTTCTTCACCTTCCTCTTCGTCTTCGTCTTCACTTTCCTCTTCATCTTCCTCTTCAGGATCCTCTTCGTTTTCCTCTTCACCTTTTTCTTAGTCTTCTTCTTCACTTTCCTCTCCGTTTTCCTCTTCACTTTCCTCTCCGTTTTCCTCTTCACTTTCCTCATCGTTTTCCCCTTCGTCTTCCTGTTCACTTTCCACATCGTTTCCTCTTCGTCGGCCTCTTCACTTTCCTCTTCGTTTTCATCTTCGTCTTACTCTTCACTTTCCTCTTCACTTTACGCTTCGTTTTCCTCTCCGTTTTCCGATTCACTTTCCTCTTCTTTTTCCTCTTCACTTTCCTCTCCGTTTTCCTCTTCGTCGTCCTCTTCACTTCCGTCTCCGTGTTCCTCTTCGTCGTCCTCTTCACTTTCCTCTCCGTTTTCCTCTTCACTTTCCTCTTCGTTTTCCCCTTCGTCTTTCTCTTCACTTTCCTCTCCGATTTATTATTCACTTTCCTCTTCGTTTTCCGCTTCACTTTCCTCTTCGTTTTCCCCTTCGTCTTCTTCACTTTCCTCTTCGTCTTCCTCTTCACTTTCCTCTTCATTTTCCTCTTCGTCATCATCTTCACTTTCCTCTTCGTGTTCTTCTTCACCTTCCTCTTCGTCTTCCTGTTCATTTTCCACTTCGTTTCCTCTTCATTTTCTACTCCGTTTTCCTCTTCACTTTACTCATCCTTTTCCTCTTCGTTTTCTTCTTCACTTTCCTCTTCGTTTTCCTCTTCATTTTACGCTCTGTTTTCCTCTTCGTTTTCCTCTTCACTGTCCTCTTCGTTTTCCTCTTCACTTTCCTCTTCGTTTTCCTCTTTGTCTTACACTTCGTCTTCCTCTTCGTTCTCCTCTTTGTCTTCCTCTTCACTTTCCTCTCCGTCTTCCTCTTCGTCGTCCTCTTCACTTTCCTCTCCGTTTTCGTCTTCATTTCCTCTGCGTTTTCCTCTTCACTTTACTCTTCGTTATCCTCTTCGTCTTCCTCTTCCCTTTCCTCTTCTTTTTCGTCATCACTTTCTTATCCGTTCCCCTCTTCGTCGTCCTATCCACTTTCCTCTCCGTTTTCCTCTTCACTTTCCTCTCCGTTTTCCTCTTCACTTTCCTCTTCATATTCCCCTTCGTCTTCCTCTTCACTTTCCTCTCTGATTTCCTCTTCATTTCCTCTTCGTTTTCCTCTTCATTTTCCTCTTCGTTTTCCTCTTCGTCTTCTTCTTCACTTTCCTCTTCGTTTTCCTCTTCGTCTTACTTTTCACTTTCCTCTTCGTTTTCCTCTTCGTTTTCCTCTTTACTTTCCACTTCGTCTTCTTCTTCACTTGCTTCTTCGTCTTCCTCTTCACTTTCTTCTTCGATTTCCTCTTCGTTTTCCGCTTGACATTCTCCTTCGTTTTCCTCTTCACCTTCCTCTTCGTCTTCCTTTCCACTTTCCTCTTCGTTTTCCTCTTCGTCTTCTTCTTCACTTTCCTCTACGTTTTCGTCTTCACTTTCCTCACCGTTTTCCTCTTCACTTTCCTCTTCATTTTCCTCTTCGTCTTCATCTTCACTTTCCTCTTCGTGTTCTTCTTCACCTTCCTCTTCGTCTTCCTGTTCACTTCCACTTCGTTTCCTCTTCATTTTCCACTCCGTTTTCCTCTTCACTTTACTCATCGTTTTCCTCTTCGTCTTCTTCTTCACTTTCCTCTTCGTTTTCCTCTTCACTTTACGCTTCGTTTTCCTCTTCGTTTTCCTCTTCACTGTCCTCTTCGTTTTCCTGTCCTCTTCGTTTTTTCCTCTTTTTCCTCTTCACTTTACTCTTCATTTTCCTCTTCACTGTCCTCTTCGTTTTCCTCTTCACTTTACGCTTCGTTTTCCTCTTCGTTTTCCTCTTCACTGTCCTCTTCGTTTTCCTCTTCACTGTCCTCTTCGTTTTCCTCTTCACTTTCCTCTTCGTTTTCCCCTTCGTCTTCCTCTTCGTTCTCCTATTCGTCTTACTCTTCACTTTCCTCCTCGTTTTCCTCTTCACTTTACTCTTCGTTTTCCTCTTCACTGTCCTCTTCGTTTTCCTCTTCACTTTCCTCTTCGTTTTCCTCTTTGTCTTAAATTTCGTCTTCCTCTTCCTTCTCCTCTTTGTCTTACTCTTCACTTTCCTCTCCGTTTTCCTCTTCGTTTACCTCTTTACTTTCCTCTCCGTTTTCCTCTTCGTCGTCCTCTTCACTTTCCTCTCCGTTTTCGTCATCACTTTCCTATCCGTTTTCCTCTTCGTCGTCCTATTCACTTTCTCTCCATTTTCATCTTTCACTTTCCTCTTTTTCCTCTTCACTTTCCTCTTCATCTTCCTCTTCTTTTTCCTCTTCTTTTTCGTCTTCCTTTCCACTTTCCTCATCGTTTTCCTCTTCGTCTTCTTCTTCACTTTCCTTTCCATTTTCCTCTTCATCTTTTTTCCTCTTCCTTTTTCCTCTTCACTTTCCTCTTCGTTTTACTCTTCGTTTTCCTCTTCACTGTCCTCTTCGTTTTCCTCTTCACTTTCCTCTTCGCTTTCCTCTTCGTCTTCCTCTTCACTTTCTTCTTCGTTTTCCTCTTCACTGTCCTCTTCGTTTTCTTCTTAACTTTCCTCTTCGTGTTCCTCTTCACCTTCCTCTTTACCTTCCTCTTTGTCTTCCTCTTCACTTTACTCTTCGTTTATCTCTCCGTCTTCTTCACTTTCCTCTTCGTCTTCCTTTTCACTTTCCTCTTCCTTTTCCTCTTCACCTTCCCCTTCCTCTTACTCTTCACTTTTTTCTTCGTTTTCTCTTCGTTTTCCGATTCACTTTCCTCTTCGTCTTCCTCTTCACTTTCCTCTCCGATTTCCTCTTCACTTTCCTCTTCGTTTTCCTCTTCACTTTCCTCTTCTTTTTCCTCTCCGTTTTCCTCATCACTTTCCTCTTCGTTTTCCTCTGCGTCCTCCTCTTCATTTTTCTCGCCCTTTTCCTCTTCACTTTCCTCTTCGTTTTTCTCTTCGTCTTTCTCTTAACTTTACTTTTCGTTTTCCTCTTCGGTTTCCTCTTCGCTGTCCTCTTCGTTCTCCTCTTCGTCTTCCTCTTCACTTTCCTCTTCGCTTTCCACTTCACCTTCCTCTTCACTTTCCTTTCGTTTTCCTCTTCGTTTTCCGCTTCACTTTCCTCTTAGTCTTCCTCTTCACTGTCCTCTCCGTTTTCCTCTTCACCTCCCTCTTCGTTTTCCTGTTCGTCTTCCTCTTTACTTTCCTCATCGTTTTCCTCTTCACTTTCCTCTTCAATTTCCTCTTCGTCTTCCTCTTCACTTTCCTCTTCGTTTTCCCCTTCACGTTACTCTTTGTTTTCCTCTTCGTTTTCCTCTTCACTTTCCTCATCCTTTTCCTCTTCGTCTTCCTCTTCACTTTCCTCTTTGTTTTCGTCTTCACTTTACTCTTCGTGTTTCTCTTCCCCTCCCTCTTCGTCTTCCTCTTCACTTTCCTCTTCCTCTTTCCTCTTCCTCTCTTCGTTTCCTCTTCACTTTCCTCTTCGTTTTTCCTCTTCGTCTCCTCTTCGTTTTTCGTTTTCTCTTCACTGTCCTCTTCGTTTTCTTCTTCACTTTCCTCTTCGTGTTCCTCTTCACCTTCCTCTTTGTCTTCCTCTTCACTTTACTCTTCGTTTACCTCTCCGTCTTCTTTACTTTCCTCTTCGTCTTCCTTTTCACTTTCCTCTTCCTTTTCCTCTTCACCTTCCTCTTACTCTTACTCTTCACTTTTTTCTTCGTTTTCTCTTCGTTTTCCGCTTCACTTTCCTCTTCGTCTTCCTCTTCACTTTCCTCTTCGTCTTCCTCTTCACTTTCCTCTTCGTTTTCCTCTTCACTTTCCTCTTCGTTTTCCTCTTCACTTTCCTCTTCTTTTTCCTGTCCGTTTTCCTCTTCACTTTCCTCTTCGTTTTCCTCTGCGTCCTCCTCTTCATTTTTCTAGCTATTTTCCTCTTCACTTTCCTTTTCGTTTTTCTCTTCATCTTCCTCTTAACTTTACTTTTCGTTTTCCTCTTCGTTTTCCATTTCGTTTTTCTCTTCACTGTCCTCTTCGTTTTCCTCTTCACTTTCCTCTTCCTCTTCACCTTTCTCTTTGTCTTCCTTTTCACTTTCCTCTTCGTTTTCCTCTTCACCTTTTCTTCGTATTACTCTTCAGTTTCTTCTTCGTTTTCTCTACGTTTTCCGCTCCACTTTCCTTTTCCTCTTTCTCTTCACTTTCCTCTCCCTTTTCCTCTTCACTTTCCTCTTCGTTTTCCTCTTCGTCTTCGTCTTCACTTTCCTCTTCGTCTTCCTCTTCACTTTCCTCTTCGTTTTCCTCTTCACTTTACTCTCACTTTTCCTCTTCTCTTTCCTCTTCACTTTCCTCTTCGTTTACCTCTTCGTTTACCTCTTCGTCTTCTTCACTTTCCTCTTCGTCTTCCTCTTAACCTTCCTCTTTGTCTTCCTCTTCACTTTCCTCTTCGTTTTCCTCTTCACCTTCCTCTTCGTTTTCCGCTTCACTTTCCACTCCGTTTTCCTCTTCACTTTCTTCTTCGTTTTCCTCTTCGTCTTCCTCTTCACTTTCCTCTCCGTTTTCCTCTTCGTTTTCCTCTTCGTCTTCATCTTCACTTTCCTTTTCGTTTTCCTATTCGTCTTCCTCTTCACTTTCCTCTTCGTCTTCCTCTTCACTTTCCTCTTCCTTTTCCTCTTCACCTTCCTCTTCCTCTTCACTTTTTTCTTCGTTTTCTCTTCGTTTTCCGCTTCACTTTCCTCTTCGTCTTCCTCTTCACTTTCCTCTTCACTGTCCTCTTCGTCTTCCTCATCACTTTCTTCGCCTTCCTCTTCATTTTCTCTTCTTCTTTTTCTTCTTTGCTTTCCTTTATCATTTTCCTGTTTGTCTCAATCATGTTCTCTTCTTTGTCGTCTCCTTCGTCTTTCTCTTCACTTTCCTCTTCGTCCTCTTCTTCGTTTAACTCACAGTTCCTTCTTCGCTTTTCTCTTTACTTTACTTTTTCTTCCCTTTATTATTCGTTTTCCTTTTCCCTTTCTTCTTTTTCTTCTTCTTTCGCCTTTCTCTTCAATTTCCTTTTCACCTTCTTTTTCTTTATTCCTCTCTTTCTTCACTCTCCTCATCTCTTTCCTCTTCCTCTTCATCTTTTTCACCAATCTCTTCAGCTTCCATTTCTTCTCAAATATAGTTAGCCATACTTTGTCGCCTTCCCGACAGCTTTCCCAACACCAGCCTCAACAGCCATTTTTCTGTCTCTTGCTCATTCAATGACACACTTGACTTATGACAATCTGGCTACCCCCGCCTCTTCATTTTTTTTGCCATGCTTTCTATCACCCGACACCCCCGCTCATCACCCCGACGACTCTATCTTCAAATTTCGCTTCACCAACAAATCAGACGAGACTCGCTTGTTAAACATCTTGACTTGACTTGCCCTTTGAGACACTCGATCGATCAATCAATCAATAAAAACTTCGCGCGGTTAATTGATTTTATTTCACAGATGTTTTTAAGTTCCGCTCTCTTTCTTTCTTTCTTTCTTTCTTTCTTTCTTTCTTTCTTTCTGTTTTATTTTATTCTTTCAATATGTCCGTATTTTTCCTTGCTTTCTTTTATAATTTTAAACCATTTCCATTTCATTCTTTCCTTATTTTTAATACTTTTTCCCTTTTTGCATTATTTTATTCTTTCTTTTCTGTCTGTATTTTTCTTGGATTTCTTTCAGAATATTATATAATTAATTCACCCTTTCTTTCTTTCTTTCTTTCTTTCTTTCTTTCTTTCTTTCTTTCTTTCTTTCTTTCTCACGTTCATTAATCCTTCATAAATCCATTGTTTTTTGTTTGTTTGTTTCTCTCTCCTTCATTAATCCTTCAATTCTTTGTTTGTTTGTTTGTTTCTTTCTTTCTTTTCGTTGTTTTTTATTTCTTCCAATATATATTTTTATTTCTTTCCTTTCTTTTCTTTGCTCATTTTTTCTTTTCTTTTTATATATTTCTTTTTTCTTTTCCTCTTTTTTTCATTATATATTTTTCTTTTTCTTTCTCTTCTTTGATTGTTGTTTTTTTAATAATTCTTTCTTTCTTTCGGTTTAATTTTTCTTTTGGTGATTTTTATTCGTTCTTTATTCCGTAACTTTTATTCTTTGATTTATCTTTTATATTGTTCTTTCTTTCTTTCTTTCTTTTTTTTTTTCTTTCTTTCTTTCTTTCTTTCTTTCTTTCTTTCTTTCTTTCTTTCTTTCTTTCTTCTCACTCTGTTTAATCTTTCATGGATCTTTTCTTTCTTTCTTTCTTTTCTTTTCTTTCTTTCATTTTTTCTTTTCATTCTTTCTTTTCTTTCTTTCTTTCTCTTTAATATTTTCGTTCTATTTTTTATTAACATTTTACTTTTCTTCTTTCTTTTCTTTTCTTTCAATCTTTCTTTCTTTCTTTTCTTTTCTTTCTCTCTTTCTTTCTTTCTTTTCTTTTCTTTTCTTTTCTTTCTTTCGTTTCTTTCTTTCTTTCTTTTTAATATTTTCGTTCTATTTTTATCAATATTTTACTTTTCTTCTTTCTTTTCTTTCTTTTTAATATTTTCTTTCTATTTTTTATTAACATTTTACTTTTCTTCTTTCATTTCTTTTTTTTTCTTTTCTTTCTTTCTTTCTTTTCTTTTCTTTCTTTCTTTCTTTTCTTTCTTTCTTTTTAATATTTTCGTACTATTTTTTATTAATATTATGCTTTTCTTCTTTCATTTTTTTTTTCTTTTCTTTCTTTCTTTCTTTTCTTTTCTTTCTTTCTTTTCTTTCTTTCTTTTTTCATATTTTCGTATTATTTTTTATTAATATTATACTTTTCTTCTTTCTTTTCTTTCTTTCTTTCTTTCTTTCATTTAGTTTCATTTTTCTTTCGCTATTTTTCACTAGTTCTTCGTTCTGTTTTGAAATTCTTTCTTTGGTTTCTCCCTCTTATTGTTCTTTCTTTCTGTCTTTCTTTCTTTCTATCTTTTTCTTTCTTTTTGATTTCTTTTTTTATTCTTTCCTTCAGTAACAGAAAATACTTGCCGAATGAAATGAAAAAAAATCATTAATTGCTTAAATTATTTCAATTAATTTCCAGGTACGAAATTACAGACTCTGAAAAGTCCCGATATATGTACATTTTCTTCAGTAGAAATTTCGTTGTTCTAGGCCGGTAGATGTAAATTTCCCTGTTTAAAATAAAACAAAGATGTTTATCTACTAAACGAAAACGTTTGTTGTAATATGAAATAATGCCAGATTAAAAAAAATCAATTTATGGAAGAAATATATATATATATATATATATATATATATATGAACATTTCATTGAATACGACAGACAAGATGATTTTATTTAGTATCTCATACAGTTTCTCATGCGATCTAATCATTTTTCTTTTCAGATGATAAATTATATAAAATATATAATGAACGAAAATTATAAACAAGACGAAAGTAGAATTAAGAACATTATAAAAAATGCACAACAGCTGTGGACAATAGCAAAGAAATTAGATTAATTATTTATTACAAAAAATTTAAAACCTCTAACCTTGTAGTTAAAAATAATAATTCAGCTCTTAGAACAAAATTAAATAGGG